GTGTGTGTGTGTGTGTGTGTGTGTGTGTGTGTGTGTGTGTGTGTGTGTGTGTGTGTGTGTGTGTGTGTGTGTGTGTGTGTGTGTGTGTGTGTGTGTGTGTGTGTTTGTGTTTGTTGGTGTTTGTGTTCGCGTTCGTGTTTGTGTGCGTGTTTGTGTGTGTGTGTCTGTTTGTCTGTGTGTGTGTGTTTGTGTTTGTGTTTGTGTTTGTGTGTGCGGGTGTGTCTGTGAGAGTGTGTGTGTGTGTGCCTGTGCGTGTGTGTGTGTGTGTGTGTGCCTGTGCGTGTGCGTGCGCGTGTGTGTGTGTGTGTGCGCGCGCGCGTGTTTTGGTAAGTAACGTTTGGTGGATGCCGATCTTGAGCCTTGGGAGTTTGCATTGCATGATCTATCTCCTACTGGTGCTTCAGCGCCTTTTTCCTGCTCGCAACTATGACGTTCAACCGATAACAGATAACACCTTTCAAAATGGTTGGTGGACACACATCCATGGACATGATTTGCCACACATGTCTCCCCAACTCAAGTGCCCCCATGTGCTTTCATAAGGTTGATCCCACTATGAAACCTACGCACAATCACTTTGGAAGAAGCCGTTTATCATTTCACATTTCAAAGGGTGTGATCATTGCCAAGTCCAACGCATTGCACTTGTCAGTTCGACCCACGATTGATTGGATTATCGTCTGTAAATTCAGCTAAGGATCATAAGCATTATTCTGGCTGAAGCACCAGTCCTCAATATTGAGCACAACTGGGTCAAAGCAAGGGAATCCATGGTTGGTCCTGGTTCCCCTCCTTTTTTTGCCACCTCCCCTTTTTCGGGTCGACGGGGTCGCAACTAAAAACGACTCTCCCGGCTCATTGAGCTCAGGTTGTTAAAGAGGTGGAGCTGGACAAGCGCCGCTTTTGCGTCACCGTGAAGGACGCTAGGGCCTCAAGGGCCGAATGCACTGCTCGAGGGCTTCGGTGGCAAAAACTGGACCGGAGCACTTGTCGATTTCAGATTTCCAGTTCCGAAACCGAAGCCACCGGGAACAGAGGATTGGCATACAGAGCCGCCTTTTCAATAGCGCGTGTTGGGATCCCGGAAGCGGAAACCATAGAAACGGCAACGCCCTCTAAACCCCACCCCCTATGCGGCAATGTGTGGAAGGATGGAAAATCGGGACATATATGAAAAGGGACCCTTGCCCCATACATGTCACAAAAGTGGGAAAGGCGAATGCACTGCTTCCTTCTTCACTGACATTCACCGCTGGCCCGTTTTAGGAGGCAGTTCACCTTGCGATATTTTCAGCCAGGTGCCATGAGGGTTGATAGTTCCCTCTTTTTGTTCAGCCACAAAGTGACAGAACCCATTTTTCCCCCATGCCTCTCATATATGATGTCTTAAAAAGAAAACATGTCTCCGTTTGTTGAGGTGGATTCAAGTGAACCCCAAGGAACACCGAAATCCCCTGGTTTTCAGCCCGCAGGCAGCCGCCGTTTTGGCGGAGAACCGGATACCGCTGAAGGCCGGGTCCGGGTCGCGTGGGCCCGCGTGTTGGCGGAAGAGGTCCAAGAGGTCAGCGGAAATTTTCGGGGGCTTGGGCAAAACTTGCTGGTGCGAGAAATACATGGAATGAGAAATGGAATGTCCACGCTTTACACCACCCAACTGGTAGTTTCCTTTAAGGGGACCAAAGCCTGGGGTCATTTAATCGCATTCCCTGCTGAGCACCAGCAAGAAAAGGAGGGTAGGGGTTGCCCATGTGCAAAAAAGGGGGGTCCAAAAAGGAGTAGTGCAAAAAGGGTTGTCCGAAAGGGGGCTAGCTAGTAGGGGGAAATAGGGCCACATAAGGCCTTGATGGTGGGTGTGCCCATGTGCGTGTATATGGCTGTCCAAAAGGACTTGTCCACAAAGGGTTGTCCAAGAACAACGGTTTTGACACGCTAAACCCAAGGTGGACCGACATCTATCCAAGCTTGCACAAGATACCTAAGATCTTGATTTTTGGGGCCGGTAGAAATGGTCCACGACCTCTTAATGGAGGGCGTCACCGCACTAATGCGCTTCGTTCCAACAATAGAGGAACACCTACCCTCTTTCACACACGCCTGGAAGTGAAGGTTCCTCTTCATTGCACCCTGACCATGACCTACACATGCAAAGTTCGGACTTGTAGTGGGGGGGGTTCACACCACTTTTTGAGGGAACACCCCCCCCACCAATAGGACAGGTTCTGCTTAGATCCGGGTCTACATAGCTTCAACCCCCATATTTGTTTGAACGTATGATTACTTAGCTCTCAGGCAGACGCGATGTCCAACTCCCGGGCCCAAATCAACCTCCAGAAAGCTCCTCTCGAAGCTGTGACTTCGGGGAGGGGGAGAGTGACCCGATCAAATAGGAGGGTCCTTGATGCAGGAAGAGGAGCGACCTTATCAGGTGATAATTGATTTTGAGAGCAAGTTGACAGTTGAACTTGCCTTGTCAGATAGGCGGAAGCTCTCACTTGTTCAGTGGCAGGATGTTCCATTGGTTTTGGTGTCAGGTTCCCCCCCCCACAAAACAAACAAAACAAAAAACAATCAACAGCACCCCCGAGCTCCCTGTTTCCACCAGGGTCACTGAAAAGCGCAGAGAAACCTGGGGCTTCGATTGCTTTCCAGGTGGTATCAGGTGACTTCTTGGTGATTTGAATTTGGAGGATTCCGGGTCAACACCACAACACCATTCCGGGTCAAATCCCTCTTTACCGATTCCATCTCTACCTCCCTTTGATGTTTTCCCAACAGAGCCAAAAGGCAACCCTCCTAGGCAACCCTCGTAAGACTTGGTCAGGATATGGTCGAAGGGCATCACGCCGGAGGCCCAGGGCGCCTTTCAGCGGCCTCCATCGCCACGCAGTTGATAGGGATCCACGGGAAGTGAAAGGTTTTACCCCAGGGTTGTGGGATCAAGGGGTTTGTCCCCACTTCTGTGATACAAGGGAATCCCCCTTTCTATTAACAAAATAGTCTTTGGGAAGCCCTTTCTGTTGTATCACAAAAGTGGTCATTCCCCACAGCCCTGTTTTTGGTTGGCATGGTCAACCAAACTGATAGGGTAAACAATTCCTTTTTGAAGGGTAGTTTGAGGGCCCAGGCATCGGGTCGTATGGTAATTGATATCGACATGAAATGAAAGGTTCTACTCTATAAGGATGGAGGACGTTGCATGAAGTGACCAAGGGTTTTGGGTCACTGTTTTTGTCCACAGATATACCAATGCTGATGCCATGGTTGGTGCAGCTTGAAGTCTTGCCCATCGACCTGTTGTGAAGCTGCTGAACAAAATATGGTCATAGAAAGTAGAAACCGAAATTTCTACAGGAATTTGGATTGCCACACATCCACCAAAAACATTGGCATTGCCTGTAGAATGTCCAGTTGCTGGTGGTTGCACGACGCTGGCATCGCTTGGCCAATCCCGGATCTTGTTTGCCGGGGTCCCTTCTTCTGCAACGGAAGACTCTTTGCAACACACGGCGCCTGGTCTAAAGTCACGCTTCCACATGGTAAAGTCACCTCTTTGCAGGGTTGGAAGAAATTGTTTAAACAATCAGAGCGTGGCTCCCTTTAGACGGAAAGCGAAAGAAGTTGTTTAAACCATGGGTTGAACCCATGTAAACGAGGAGTTGGCCTGTTGGCCGTCTCTTTCTGAGGTGGATGGCATCATCGATCACAAGAATCCCTTCGGCATTTGGGCGCCGCACTGAGATGAGGAACTGCACCCGCAACACGAGTAAAAGGACCACAACCCCCTCAGCTGGAATTTCGGGAGTCCCTCTTTTGTTCAACCAACGAGGGGAGCCAAAAGGTAAATCCCAGCTGAAGGGGGGGGGGTCCCCTACAAATGATACGCCCATGGTCAAGAACCCCCCCATGTTTTGAACGGCCGAGTCAGAAGTTTAAGGAGCACAGTTGGCACCCGACCCGGACAAGTCCCTTTCATGCCCACAGAAAACAGAAGTAACGCTCTTTCCCTTTCAAATCCCTACAAAGGGATTCCCTAAACAAATGGGGCCAGGCTCGGGACCAGACAAATTGAGGGGTCCATTTGCATTTGTTTATGACCCCAGAGCTATTCAGATTCAGCAACTGCATCAACTGCGATGGAAAGATTGATGTTTGATGTATTTTTGATTGCAAGCTGGAACGCCATTGCAAGCCACAAGCCTGAGTTTTCTTGGTACAAGCATTATCAACATGTACGCCAGTGGTGTGGGCGACATGTTGATGACATCATGCGCAAGACAAAGTCTGAACTGGACGAGGACATGCGCTTGGCCAGTAAACTACCTGCCAGAAAAGTGAGCAAGGGGAGCAAGATGGCAGTTCTGCTACTAGAACAGTTGGCTCAGTTGGTTATTTCCTCATGTCGCCTGTGTGTGCGTTTGATGTGGCTCTTTGTCCCACCGCGATTCAGCAGAGCCGTGCTCTACAGCACTGGGATCATGCGTCGGACCTGAGCTGGAAAAGCATTTCCACATGGCGAGGCTGTGATAGGAAGCATAGCTGTCTGAGACTGACAGGAACGTAGGAAGTGCAGACTGACAGCACTCATGCGCAGATTGTTAAGGACAACATGGTGCTCTTCTCAGCAAATTCGACCCTTAGACTGTTTTTTTTTTGACATCAACCGGTTGTCATTCTGCCGCCGTTTCTGAGTGCATGTAGTGAGCACATCTGAGCACCATCTTCCCCTGTATCTTCCTTCATGTGCTCTAGCTTTTTCGTTTAGGTTTGCGCGCAAAGTCGCACTTATAGATGCAAGGGATCAGATTTTGCGGCGCCAGACTGGACGGCGGGCACATTGCGTCTTGTTTACTAGTGTTGCTGGCATAGAGTTTCTAGGCAAACAGGGGTTGGCTTGGGGTTCCTTGCAGCGGAGCAGTGACTCATGTAGCTTATGTTGCTCAGCCGTCATCCATCAAGCTTGTGCAGTCAGATCATCCTTGGACATCCCTTCCGTTGCAGACATGGCTCCCATGAAGGCAACCAAGACCATGAAGGCGATGAAGGCTGCCAAGGCCATGACCAAGGGGGGCATCGTGAGTGAGCTGGCCTCGGCAACAGACATGAAGAAGTCTGACGTGTCGCAGCTTCTTGGACAGCTCTCTGAGATGGGAGCGAAGGAGGTAAAGGCAACCGGGAAGTTCGTGATCCCGGGGCTGTGCATGATCAAGACACGCACGAAGCCAGCCACCAAGGCGGGCAAGCGGATGATGTTTCTCAACCTGCTTAGCGTAAGCTTTTGTTTTGTTTCCGATAGCTTACTGAACGTTTCTGTGTTGACTGAACATCATTGAAGTGCACCGTGTTTACGTGTCCGTTGGCCCAGGTTCGGCAAAGAGGTGGCCATCAAGGCTCAGCCTGCCAAAACGGTGGTCAAGGCATTCGCAGTGTCAGCTCTGAAGAAGCAGATCTGAAATGTTCTGCCTGCGAGCTGTACAGCCTGTGACCTGGGGTGCTGATCGATGGGGTTTAGCGAACAGCGCTTGGGGGACCCAGGCTGAACTTGATGCGCTGCATGGTTGTTTTACTCACAGCCATGTCACGCCACAATTTGCGGTTTCCAAGTTGTACATTGTACCTGGAGCCATCAGAAGAAAGCTGGCGCGACTCAGTTCGAAGGGTTGTTTGGGGGCGGCACATTGCGTCTTGTTTACAAGTGTTGCGTTGCTGGCATCCAGGCAAACAGGGGTTGGCTTGGGGTTCCTTGCAGCGGAGCAGTGACTCATGTAGCTTATGTTGCTCAGCCGTCATCCATCAAGCTTGTGCAGTCAGATCATCCTTGGACATCCCTTCCGTTGCAGACATGGCTCCCATGAAGGCAACCAAGACCATGAAGGCGATGAAGGCTGCCAAGGCCATGACCAAGGGGGGCATCGTGAGTGAGCTGGCCTCGGCAACAGACATGAAGAAGTCTGACGTGTCGCAGCTTCTTGGACAGCTCTCTGAGATGGGAGCGAAGGAGGTAAAGGCAACCGGGAAGTTCGTGATCCCGGGGCTGTGCATGATCAAGACACGCACGAAGCCAGCCACCAAGGCGGGCAAGCGGATGATGTTTCTCAACCTGCTTAGCGTAAGCTTTTGTTTTGTTTCCGATAGCTTACTGAACGTTTCTGTGTTGACTGAACATCATGCAAGTGCACCGTGTTCACTTATCTGTTGGCTCAGGTTCGGCAAAGAGGTGGCCATCAAGGCTCAGCCTGCGAAAACGGTGGTCAAGGCATTCGCAGTGTCAGCTCTGAAGAAGCAGATCTGAAATGTTCTGCCTGCGAGCTGTACAGCCTGTGACCTGGGGTGCTGATCGATGGGGTTTAGCGAACAGCGCTTGGGGGACCCAGGCTGAACTTGATGCGCTGCATGGTTGTTTTACTCACAGCCATGTCACGCCACAATTTGCGGTTTCCAAGTTGTACATTGTACCTGGAGCCGTCAGAAGAAAGCTGGCGCGACTCAGTTCGAAGGGTTGTTTGGGGGCGGCACATTGCGTCTTGTTTACAAGTGTTGCTGGCATGATGTTTTCAGGCAAACAGGGGTTGGGTTGGGGTTCCTTGCAGCGGAGCAGTGACTCATGTAGCTTGTGTTGCTCAGCGGTCATCCATCAAGCTTGTGCAGTCAGATCATCCTTGGACATCCCTTCCGTTGCAGACATGGCTCCCATGAAGGCAACCAAGACCATGAAGGCGATGAAGGCTGCCAAGGCCATGACCAAGGGGGGCATCGTGAGTGAGCTGGCCTCGGCAACAGACATGAAGAAGTCTGACGTGTCGCAGCTTCTTGGACAGCTCTCTGAGATGGGAGCGAAGGAGGTAAAGGCAACCGGGAAGTTCGTGATCCCGGGGCTGTGCATGATCAAGACACGCACGAAGCCAGCCACCAAGGCGGGCAAGCGGATGATGTTTCTCAACCTGCTTAGCGTAAGCTTTTGTTTTGTTTCCGATAGCTTACTGAACCTTTCGGTGTTGACTGAACATCATGCAAGTGCACCGTGTTTACGTGTCCGTTGGCCCAGGTTCGGCAAAGAGGTGGCCATCAAGGCTCAGCCTGCCAAAACGGTGGTCAAGGCATTCGCAGTGTCAGCTCTGAAGAAGCAGATCTGAAATGTTCTGCCTGCGAGCTGTACAGCCTGTGACCTGGGGTGCTGATCGATGGGGTTTAGCGAACAGCGCTTGGGGGACCCAGGCTGAACTTGATGCGCTGCATGGTTGTTTTACTCACAGCCATGTCACGCCACAATTTGCGGTTTCCAAGTTGTACATTGTACCTGGAGCCATCAGAAGAAAGCTGGCGCGACTTGTTTAGGGGCGGCGCATTGCGTCTTGTTTACAAGTGTTGCTGGCATGATGTTTTCAGGCCTTGCACGCCAAAGGGCCAAAAGGAGTCTATTTTGAGAACCCCCGCGTTCCCTTGTCCACCAGAAACGGACTCCTGTTCAGGTGGATGGTACAATGACCCCTCTATTCAATTGTGTGAGACGTCCATCTCGCTTCTCACCTGCACCACGCCCACTCCAATTTAGAAACGGTGCTGGGTTTGGGCTTGCAGGTCATGCAAACGAAGGTGCTTGGCGTGCATGCGAGTTGGCCAGCGCGTTCTCGGGTATCCAAATCCATACTTGTCGCGCTTATGTGTTCGTGCTTTCAATTTTTTGATCTTCACAATTGTTCCCCACTGAACCTTGCTTGGTAGCTTTCAACCTTACTTTGTAACTGTTAACCCTTCATAACCTCGAAAGGATTGTTTCCCCACAAACTAGCAACCAGCGACGCCTTTTGGACAGCACCGTTTGGAAATGGTCCGAAAAAACCGGGGACACCCCCAAAACAAGGGGCCCTTTGGGGTTTGATCACCGCACTCGTGTGGGCCAATCCGTGAGTTCTGTTGCATGTCCCACTCTGGTTTTGTCCACAAGTTGTGGTTTTCCCAGAAAGGAGGCCAAGGGAAAGTAGTGTTTGTTGTTGGTTGTTGTTTATTTGTCCAGACTCAGTTGGTGTTGGCGAGGCTTGACCTGATTTCCATGGGGGGTGGGACGTGTGAAGACGTGCCACGGGTGCTTTGAAAGCACTCGGCAAGGAACACTCGAAAGCACTGAAGCGCTTATGTGCAAACCACATGCGTTCCTTTGTCCGTTGGCAAGGTGGACTTGCCCATGCCGCATGTGGCGAATAAGCAGAGGATCGCACCAAAGATCCAATGGCATCGGGGGTGCATGTCGCGTTTTCCTTATGGGTCTGAAGACATATGGGGGTCCATGCCCAAAGCGTTTTCCGATTTTTCAATTGCGTCCTTTCGTGTTCCATGTCGTCTCCATGTACTTTTGGAGTGTAGGAGATCGTTGCGTCCTGTGAGGTGAATGTTGGGGCAGAGGTCATTGGCCGCTTGAACGTGCCACGCAAGTCGGGCTGCCCAGTCGCCGGAAGCTTATGTCTGTGTGTGTGTTTTTGGGATATATTCTTTGCTTGGGGGTTGGCTGAAATCCAACCAAAGGGAAAATGGGGGGAGTCTCCCCATTTTGAGAAGCACCCTTTTCTCATAATTCTCCGACTAGAATCCACTGTCTGAAAATCAAGATATGTTCCGCCTGAACAAAAAGCAACCAACACAAATACCGTGTTTCCCCTATACGTGCCAGAATAGTGGCCTTAAAACTGAGATCTTCAAGAAGCACGCCCAACCAAACACATACACATACACATACACATACATACAGACATACATTTTTATATATATATATATACATATATATATATATTTATAGACACACGCACTCCACAGGTCTGAAGCGTGCCTAGTTTCCGTTCTGTTCGCGCGCAGAACTCGATCGCGAGACATCATCACCCCAGTCCAGTTGCAACCTTGGTCGACAAGGGGTGGGCCCATTTTATCAACCAGCCAATGCGTTTTCCGCAAGGAATGCTTTGGGCTTCTGGGGTGCGAGCTCTTTGAGTTTCTTTCAAATTAGGTTCCCATTCTGAGATACCCCGTGCACGTCTTGGAGTGCAAGAACAAGTCGTGACCAGTCGTCAACCCATCCATGAGGGTTGCGCAGGAGCATTTTGAGAGCTTCAATGATGTCCGATTGTGGAAACCATGTCCCACGTCAGAAGGAGTTCTTACCATTGCACATGTGCGAATTCATTGTTTGGGAAGAGCGCGTGTGTTAGTTCATGATTGGATTCGACTCAACTGATGAGCAGCAGGCTTGCCAGCATGTACTAGAAGAGGGGCCCCAGCATGTCAACTAGCCGTGCTAGACCCCTGCAGAAATTGTTGGAATAAGCGCACGTAGTCCCCATGGCCTTGTTTTGATGCTTGGGTCAGGCCGCTTGTCATGTAATGCCGACCCCCAGTGTTCCCCCAGAAATGAAGGGGACACCCAGGATTTGATCCTGGGTTTATAGACACGAGTTGATATATATATATATATATCACATCTTCCGCTATCGGTGAATCGCTTTTCAGGGATCAACGAACCACTAAGTTAGGATCACGCTCGGCTACCTCTTCCTCACTTGCCCAAAGCGAATCGACCACATGGGACCTTTTGGTTTCCTGTGTTGCTCCACGTTTCTTCCAGGTTGCAAAAGTTTTAGCTGTTTGTTTCCACAGGTCCTTTGGGCAAGTGAGACTCCGAATACTCAGGTTCACCAATCACCTGGTAGCTGGTCAATGCCTCACGGACGTCATCATCGAGAGTCAGCGCCTAAGGTCCTGTTGTAGCTTCGGTGATTTAATGCCTGCATCTGCGTGTGTTGTATATGCTTGTTTGTTTGCTGGCTGGCTGGCTGGCTTGCTGGCTGGCTGGCTGGCTGGCTGGCTGGCTGGCTTGATGGCGTGCTTGTTTGTTTGTTTGTTTGTTTTGTTTGATTGATTGATTGATTGATTGATTCATTGATTTGATTGATTGATTGATTGATTTGATTGATTGTTTGATTGATTGATTGATTGGTTGATTGATTGATTGATTGATTGATTGATTGTTTATTGATATTATTTGTTTCGTGTGTGTGTGTGTGTGTTTGTTATGTGTTTAGTTGCTTTGTTGCCTAGTTGCTTAGTTAGTTAATTAGTTAGTTACTTAGCTTGTTTGTTGGCTTGTTTGTTTGTTTGTTTGTTTGTTTGTTTGTCCTTGTTGTCTGAACTCTGTTGATTCTTTGCTTGTTTGTTTTGTGTTTGTGTTTGTCTTTATTGTTTGCGTGTTTATGTGGATCTATCAGAGTGTCCAGTGTTCAACAGATTGCTTGTCACTGGACAGTTGGGCTGCCAGTTGCGGGTTCCAATGTCATATCTTGTAGTGCTTTCCTGGGGAATCCATGGGTTCATTCCCCACACCCCGTTGTTGCGCCGCTGCCCGACGAAAGCGCGCGCGTGCGCTGAGGAGTGGACCTGAAGCAGAACAAGCTGGGCCTCACGATGAGGGATCCGGAGGCTCGTGCGCTTGCGCGCTTGCGCGCGCGCTTGGGAGGGAATCTCTTGGTGAGTTGAAAGACGGTATTTTGTTTGGGGTTTCAAGGAAGAGCCAAGGGTGAGAAGCCCAGATGTCCATAGCCAAGTGACCTGGTCATGAAATAATATCACGTCTTTCAGTATATCTCTTGGTTGAGGGTACATGTTTTCATGTGTGCGAATTGAAGAAGCCCGAGGCAAGCCGCCGGATGAAACAAAACGTCCACAGAGTGGAGTGAGACTGGTGTTTTATCACAACCTTTCTGTCATGGATACTGGACAAGAGACCTTTTCAAGCGAATCAACCTTTTCACTTTTAGCCTTTTGGCTTTCTCCTTTTCATCCACTAGTAAAGGTCCCAAAAGATGATCAGCTTGATTTCCGGGGGTCAAAGGGGCAACTGAGAATATTCCCAGCAAGTCCAAAGGACAAGTTAAACGAGGCCTTTTGATAAGTAGACGACGGGTGTTTTTGCGAAAGCGCCGGTTAAACGAGCACCTGGAAGCGCTGGGATTGACAAGTTGGTTTTGAAGCACAACTCGGGTCACCAGACATTTCGGCAAACATGGATTTCTTGAAGGCAGGCATGCATGTACTCACTTTGGAGCGTAAGGCTCCTTTCAGGATGTGTGTGTGTGTTCACAGAAAACCAGCTGCAACGACTGGTTCATGTTTTTTGTTTGTCCTTCCGCGATTGCAACAGTGTAAGCACCCAAACGTGTGTAGTTGAAGAGCTTCAGCACAGGGTGGCGAAACATATTTTCAATCTCAGTGGACTGTCTCTTTCCTCTTCCGAAGCTATTTCCCAGTTTCCCAGCCTCTTGTTCGGGAAGGCGCTTTACGTTCAGCTACCAACACATTTGCGTTTGTGCCGGTTTGTTCCCCACGGCCAGTCGGCTTCGGAGATTTCATGGGGTCACTGTTCCTTTTCGCTTGACCTCAGGATGTAGTTCATTTGGACAACAAGACCTCAAACAAACGTCTGAGGATTGAGTTGGAGGGGGGGTCAAAGGCTTCTATTAGCAAGCCACCTAACATGATATAAAGTTGTTGTGCATTACATTACATACATTTGCATCTACCCACACACACGCCCCTATGAGTACATACATTTATTTACAATTACCCATACACCACGAATTAATGTACCGATCATTAGCGCGCTCCTCTAAAACCAGTTGTGAACAAGATCAAATCACCCGCAGCTATAAGGGGCTCCTTTTCATTTCAAGGCTTGGGAGAAGTTGTGTCATTGCCCCTTCTGGCTCCCCGCTGCCCCCTTTGGCCGGGTCCATGCGCGTTTACGCCCCGGGGAGGTCCTGATGTCCGAGCCAGTGATGGCGCGGTGCCCTTGAGAGAACGGAACTCGATGGGCCGGGTCCGTGAGTTGGAATCAGCCCTTCTTTCCATGCAGAAGATCGTTCCAACTTGCAATCTCGCTCGTTTCCTTTGGCAGTTCTTCTTAAAGCCAAGACGTCTGGAAGTTCGGGAAGCCACCTCACCAAACTAGAGAAGGTCACCAGGTCACCAGAGAGTGACCAGGTCGAGAGCCAGCCGTAGATATCGCAGTGAAGAAACATCAAAAAACCGCTCGGTCGGCGCCCAGATTTGCGACCTGCTGCGCCGCAAGGCCCGGGATGGCTTTCAGCTTGGA